ATCAGGCGGTTGACGCGCACCTCGGGCATGCCCAGCTTGCCCTTCAGCACCGAGTCCTGGATGACGGGGAAGCTGGGCGACCTGCGGGCACAGGGCCGCACTGAGCTCCCACGGGCCGCGCTGCCCAGCCCCGTCCTCCTTCCTCCTCAAGAGCGGGATGGAGCCAGACTCCATCCCTAAGCCATGCTACTTGTTTCTTCCCCCTGTTCCCCTTTCCCTAAAGCCAGCTCCAGATTCACTTTTTAGACATTTTGGGGGAGCTCCCTTGACCTCCTTGGGCTCTTGCAGAGGGCGGCATTAGGTGACAGTACCTGAGCTGTAGGCAGGGAAACCGAGGCACGGTGCCAGGACGAGGTTCCCAGCCCCACTGGCTGCACCAGGCCCAGGTTGCCGGGTCCCAGGGCTGCCCCTCGAGCGGACGTGGTGAGGGGAGGCCATCGGGAGTGGGGCCGGCACGCGGGGCCTTACTTGGGAATGGGGGAGAAGATGCTGAGGCCCGCTCGAAACTTCTTGATGGTGCCACTCGTCTTGAACCAGCTGTGCCGCTTCTCCTGCTGGCTCTTCAGGAAGTCGTTGCTCAGGTGCTTCCATTGCTGCGACGTGAACATGCCCAGGATCCTGGACAGGGATGCGACGTGGGTGCCCGAGCCGGGCACGTGGGGCCCGCGGGTGCCTGTCTCGGTCCCTGCGCGTGCCGGGCTCCCCCCCGCCCCGCTCACTCCCAGGCACCGAACCCCATGGGGAGCGGGCACAGGGCCCGGCGCAGGGCTGGCCCACAGGAGGGCTGTGACACGGGCACACGCAGCACCACAGCGCGGTGGCCATGTCCCCACCGAGCCACCGGGATGACCCCCGCCGCCTTGGGTGCCTGTCGCGTTTCGGCTCTTACTTCTTGAGCTTCAGCCCCAGCCCGAAGCCCTCCTTGTTGGACGGCTGGAAAACCTCGATGGACGGCTCTGCGGAGAGACCGCGCGCTGCCGAGCGGCACGGCAAGTGCCCACGGCGCCTCCTCGCGCTCCCTCGGCGGCAAGTGGCCGCGGGCAGGACGTGCCGTGGTGCCAGCACTCACCGGGGCCATCGAGGTACTGCGAGAGCGAGAAGCGCAGGCGCAGCACGATGGGCTCCGCGCGCAGCACCTTCCAGGCCGTGGCCACCTCCTCCTGC